TTTTTTTTTTTTTTATCTTCGCAACAAGTTTAGATGCATGTCTAATATGTATTCTCTCGCTATATTTTTAAACTAGTAGATTAAACTATCGCTTATAAATACTTATTTAAGTGTACTATAAAGTGTGTAATTATACAATGCAATTATATAATGACACATCGTATACGTATCTTCTAGTATTGGAAATGATTCGAACGCGCTAATCGAAATTTTATAAATTCAGTAGTCTGTCATGATAGTATGATGAATATATCAGAATACGTAGATGTATGTAATATCATGCGTTATGTTCTATATAAATGTGTGATAAAAATGAAGTGCTTTTTATGTACTCGAAAAAGTGGAGCGTTCAGTTTGATTAAAAATATCCGAGTGCAAGCTGGGTAATTTATTCGTATAAAAATTATTTCTGTAAAATAATTTAATTCTAATTATATATATATATGTGTGTGTGTGTTATTCTATCTTTTTTAAGAAGTAGAGATAAATTAATTAATTGCAATATATAAAGTAGACAAAGTTAAGATTAATATAAAACGTTCTTGATATTCTTGTGTTTTTCAAGGTATAGCATAAGTCCCTAGTGAGAAGAAATTGAGTTGCCTGTACTATAATGAATATTTCGTTCTAATTCTTTGAACAGCCATCATCAAATGTACGCACAATGGCTTCTCTGATGAACAGATGATGCCAGCAATTTGCGATATGACTGAAACGATAGAATTTTGCTTTTCTACGTAATCAAGTAACGTCATTGTGTGAAAACTTGTTTGTATAAATTTTTCGAGAATAATGATTATTCTATGTGCTTTTTTTAATTATTATGATTTGTATTATTTAAATTTATTTGCTATATAGTGTTTGTAAATTTTTATTACTAATGAATTTTATTTGAAAAATTCAAACATTATCATTAGCGGTTGTGTTATTGCTTTTAAAGTTTAGAAATTAGAATTACTAGAATGACATTTAATTTTTCAAGAAAAATTCGGAGTAAACTTTTCATAATTCTTTGTACAATATATGGATAAAAGTATGTCTTTCTCTTGATTTCTTTTAATGGCCAGTATTCCAGTTGTTAATACAAAATTACGAGTCTACAAAATATATACTACATAAGCAGGAAAGTCTTGTGAATTAGTACGTCGCAAACATACTGAAGGGATTATCAATTAATGGTTTTTGAAGAGATGAGTAAACTTTCCGATGAGTCGCGTAGAAATTTACCTTCGCCGTGATAAGCTGAAAGGCACAAACAATTTTTCATAAGTATCGAGCACGAGGCTTATCGGTGCTCGTATACTACTTATTTTTCCTGCCTCGATTTCTCTATTCTCAAAGTGGGACGTGGCCATGCATGACAACGCATTAAATTCACGCTGCGTTCAACTCACTGAGGACACAAAAATCCTATATTTTCTATATCCTTGTGAACCTTTTATTGCTATTACATATATGTACCATGTTAAATTTTCCATTCCTTCCGTTCCTTACTATACACGTGCTCTATTCCTCTATCTTACTGCACAGACTTGACCTGTAGAGGGTAATGAAGCAAGAGGACTCTAGTATAGAAGAAAAGAGAAAGAAGATGCAGTGTACTAATTGACCATAAGTTGGAAAAACTGAATCTATTCACAGTCAATAGAAAAGAGATATCAGGTAAATATAAATAGAATACAATTCTCTCAATAATTGGCTCTCAAATAAAGTTTCTACTCATGGCCATTTAATGGAAAAACTATTATAACACCAAATGGTAGGAGTAA